GGGGGCGGGGGCGGAGCACACTCCGGGGGTCACGGCCGGTGCCCCGCGCGAGACCCCGACTCGCGAGAGCCCGGTGGCTCTAGGGGTCGCGCCGCGCCGCGAATTAGGCACGTACAGCCTGGGTCGCGCGTCCGCACGCGCACTGCTTACTTGGAGAAGGGCAGAGGGCGGGGGGATTGAACTATCGTTGTCCATACCTGGTCCTATTGGCGGGGACAGGGAAAAGGGCGGGGTGGCCTCGCTAGTGTTTTAACCTTGTGGAGCAAACTGGGAGAGAGGGTTGTCCCTGGATGTGAATGAACAAATGTCCCGGCAGGACTTGGTCCCTCAACCTGAGGAATCTCCGGACGCCAGTTTCCCCAGAAATCAGACTCGAGTGATTAGAACCTGGGACCCTCCTCTGCCACCAATCCGGGCCAAGTCCCACGCGATCATTGACATTGGCCAATGGGAGGTTTTACTGCTTAAAATAATTGTTTGGTCACAGAGGGGCGTGGGGAAGAAGATCTGTTAGAAAATTCTAATGGTTCTTCAAGCTTGACTTCTAGAAGGCATTGGTTGTGTTTTCCACTTGAGAAGCATGGAAGGCCCTAGGATCAACTTGTTGCTAGGCAACGTGTTTAGAAGGAAGCCGGTTTGTTGGAATGGAATCTTGATTCGAATTTCACTGAGTAGTCCTGATAGGAGGTATAACTGCTATTTAACCTCTGGGCTTAGGTGTCCCCTGGGTATATGTCCCTTGGTAGATGGTTTTGAGCTTCAGATAACATAAACTGTATAAAGCTCTGACATGTAGAATATGCTTAATAAGTGGCAGTTTCAATTAATTTCTTATTACTATTATTAAAATAGAACCAGCTGGACCATTTCAGAAACCAAAAATATGCAGAGATTCAGCTATTTTTAAATTTTCGTCCACATTCGTTCTAAATTTCCTTGGAACCCTGGATGGAAGGGACAAGGCAAAGGAATAAAGCCAGAAGGGAAGTTTTTAAAAGAACTCAGTGAAGTCATTGACAAATACATTCCTAGTTTGATAAGGACATAGCAAGCCACTACCTCCTCTATTATAGGAACACCCTTACATAGCCAGTGCCTGAACTTTGCAGACTTTTTGTTCAAATAAGGCCAAGGGAAATTCATTATATTTCTTAACCAATATCTTTGAAAACAGTTTTGATGAATTTGCTTTGTGCTGATAGTGGGTAATGTCTAACTGGCTATTCCCATTTTCTATTCCAAGGAAAGTAAGAAAACCTCAACTGTAGTGATTAAGCTTCCTCTTCCTACCTCTCTTCCTCCCAACAGAAGATCAAGTCCATTTGTAGAATGCAGTATTTTCAGTGTTTATTTATTGTTCCTGAAAGAAGGGGCAAAAATGGTTTAATGACCTTTGAGCATAAAAATATTTTTTCCACATGGAGGGCGGTTAGAGCTGACTTCCACCTTGGGCTTCAGGGGCTTCAAGTGCAAAGTGGGGATAATATACACTACCTGCCCCAATAGCTTGAAACGTGAAATGAAAGAAAATGAGCCCCTGACACAGAGCCTGGCACATGACAATTGATCAATAATCTTAGCTATTATTACTACTTCTATAATATTACGTATATGAATAAAGGGGAGCTGTAAGGATTAAAGATTTAGGTAAAGTGCCTGGCCCAGTGCCTATTTGAACACATGATGGTTATTTTATTTCTCACTGATGAAAAAACATATTTTATCTTTATATAACTTCAGAAATAATTCACCTATTTCCGCAACTTGTGTACAGAAGTTATTGGTGTAATACTCAAAAGTAGAGCACAATTTAGCTCTGGTTCCCTCTTTCAGGCTACTGAATAAATTACCAACAGTATCTATCTAGTTGAGCGTTTGTTCTAACAAAATAATAAGGAAAAACCAAACACTCATACAAATATTGAATCACCCTACAGCAAGTACCTTTTATTAAACTCCATGGTTTTTAATGGATAGATTTTTATTACAGACCCGAATGTTAGCAGAGCATCATAAAAAATGTTTAAATAGCATTCAGTTTTCTGATTACAAAGGCAATACATGCTCATGACAGACAATTTGTAACACACGGGGAAACAAAGAAAAAAATAAAATCATCTCCATTAATAGTGTTACCCTTTTTGTGTCCGTATATACTTATAAGATTTGTATTAGACAGCGTACACATTGTTGTCATCTCTTTTGCTTAACATTATCTCTAATGTCTTAGCATTTCCCCAATGTCTTTTTAAAAGTCTTCATTTTAATGGTCAAACATTTTAATCGTCATATATAATATGTATAAGCCACAATTTACCCATAATTATTAAACTAGTCACAAATTTGGAAAGTTCCAACTTTTCTCCTATAATTCATTCTTTCAAGAATATTTATTGAGTTTTTACTACATACTAGGTGCTGTGTGCTAGGCATAAGACTTAAGTGGTGAACTGTAAATATAAGGTTTTGATGAACATCTTTGTAAATAAATTTTTGATGGCATCTTTCATTCTTAGACTGAATTCCTAGGATTATGGAAACAACTTCAAAAAGCTTTTTTTTTTTCTTTCTGGTTCAAAGGCAAACTTAAATAAAATTCTGAACTGTAAAATATTAACTTTTTGGAAAATTGCCAACAGACTTAATATTTATTTTGTGCAAAGTGTGAACTTACCCAGAAGATGCTTTCTCGTTAGTGACTGTGAAACATCAAGGGTGGTTGAAGTGTATTGACTTTGGCTTTTATCTCTAATTCTTTCCAGGATTTGCAGGTTTTCTCAATAGTGTGAGATTGTTTGAAGTCTATGCAAATTGCCCTACTTCCTCCTCTCACAGTTAAAATGTTAACTATTTTATTTCTAGCTTTCCTCTTGTAAACATATGGCTTTTCTACATTTCTTTCACTTACCTCCCTGTGTGAAATATTTTGTATCTTAACACTTTTTAACTTTTAAACCCAAGTTATAATATACATATCCCTATGGTACTTACATACCCTGCAGTTAATTTTGGTGAAGAAGTATCATGGAAATTAACCAGTGTACTTAGGGAATTTCATAATAAAAATTATTTATTAAAATAACACCTCAAAACACACACACACCCTACTATTGTTTGCCAATGGAATGTTTATATAAAAGGTTGAACCATATGAAATTGCCATTTGTGGATTAAAAATAGTCCATGACAACTTCATGTGGCTCTACCTATATCATTAACTAATTTATTATTTTTTTCAACTTTCTCCAAATATTGAACTTCCTGATTATTATACTAATGATTTCTTTATTATTACACAAGACTGAGTTTGCTTTGACTTTCATAAATTCTGGAATCTAGTCAGGAGAGTGCCATAAAATGTTTATTTATTATAGCAGAGACAGTAGAGGGAGCCTGGAGCCAAAACATTGTTATTTTAGGCTTCACATAAATGATGATTATCTTCCAATTCTTGATATGTGGATGAATTTAAATACTAGTATATAGCCTGGCTGGCGTGGCTCAGTGGTTGAGCATCGACCTATGATCCAGGAGATTGAGGTTCGATTCCATGGTTTGATTCCGAATCAGGGCGCATGCCCGGGCTGTGGGCTGAATCCCCAGTAGGGGTGTGCAGGAGGTAGCTGATCAATGATTCTCTCATCAATGATGTTTCTATCGAGCTCTCCCTCTCACTTCCTCTCTCTGAAATCAATAAAGACATATTTTTTAAAAATAGTATATATATGAAATAGTCTTTTTTAAAAAAAGGTTGGCTGTACCTAAAGAATCACTTTAATAAGATAGGAAGGGGAAGGAAGTTTGGCTGCCAGTTCAAGCTAGGCCCCATCAGGGCTCACGCTGTGACCATCCTGACTCCCATTGTCCTCTGGGTCACGCTGGAGACAGCACACTGCCACAATGAAGTATTTGCGCTCCACAATTTTCCCCTTTTCAACCTTTAAAGTAGATCACCCATTTCCATGGGCGTTACATCATGATTGTTTATTGCATCAGAACTTCAAATATGTTACCATCTCCAGTCATCTTATTAAAGCGTCTATAGTTCAGTTGACTGCTTCCTCCAGGAATGGAAGGAGATACTTTGATCCTGTCTTGAGCATACATCCTTCCAGGAAGGTAATAAATTACCAATCCTTTCACTGAGTGGGACTTTTTGTTAGCCTTAAAGATGTTTCTTGTTTACCTCTCCTCAACCATCTTTATCCTCAGTTTTTTTGCTAATTTCTCCAGTCCTGGTGTTTTAAAGGGGTCCCCAAGGTAATTGGCAGTCACCATTATTCTTCACTGTCTAGGGAGGGCTCCAAGTCTCTGAATCTAGAGATAAGATGGAAAACCTCTCTATTTAAAACCTCACAGTCCACAGAACACAGGTAGAATCAACTTGCTACAGCAGGGTTTCCTAAACTGGTGTTAAGGGGAAATTCTTCTGGTATCTTAATAATGTGCAGAGAAAAAAGCATGGGGTGGG